AGCTTCTGCTCACTCTGCTGGTTAGGAAACCAGTGTTGTTAAGAAAAGTATATAGACTTTATTATCATAAAAACAAAAAGTTTTTTGTGAACATCTGTTTTTGGGGTTGGCAAAAGGATCAGTGGAAAGAGTTTTTTGATTCAATTTTTTACTTGTAAAATATTTTAATATATTACAGCTAGCAAATCAAATATATAATACTTCTTTATCACCTATCTCACATTTTAATTCATTTAATAAATCTATATGCTCTAACAATTTCTTAAAAAATTCAACCAACAATAAGATATTTATAAAAATTATTTATTAGAATAATATTCATTTATAAGATGACAATTATTAATAAATTTATCAAAAAAACATTTGGTTATTTTTCTTATATACAAGAAGTATTGAAAATTCTGAGCCAAACCAAGAAAACTTTGAGAAATTTTTACTATAAAATTTAATCGTTCTATAGTAATATTATTAAATTCTTTAAGGAATTGCAAGAAAGATATAACAATTAATATTAATATTTTTTTAAAAATTAAGAATTATTTTTTTTTAGAAAAGAAACAAAATCAATAATAAACAAAGAATATAAAAAATTTTATTGATAAAAATATCATATTGAATATAGTAACAAATGAAACTGAATTTAGTCTTTTGAGAAATTGATATTATTAGTTCATGAAATATTTAAAATTCATTGGAAAGAAAAAATATAGAGTAAGTATAGACTTTAGATAATACTATAAAAGATATAAATATATCTTTGAAAAGTGATAAAAATATTGTTTCTATATTAAAAATTAAATAATAATTTTTATATTTGAGATTAGTTTTTTTTGAAAATAATTAATATTTATTTATAAAAAAACTCTCTCCTGATCATGTCCATTTTGTTGAAAATTTTTCTTTCATGGTAATTTTAAGCAAAAAAAAATATTTTATACTCTTTATCACAAGTAAGCTCTAGCTCAAAAACACAAGAACCTTCAAGACAACTAGTTTAATGGAATGGAATCTCTGGTCAAAGTTTACTCAAGTTTGAAAGTCTTGCTTATCCTTTGGTTACATAAGAAAAGGTCTGTATCTGTTCTCTTTTCTTTTGTTTTTTTGCATCCTTCCTTTTTTTTATTATATCACAAAAACTATCCATATCAATATTATTACATTTGCTAAATCAAATATTTTTTCAAAAAACATACTCATACAAAGTTATTGGGTCTATTGTTTGTTTTAATACAATCTCCACATATAACTTTATCATAATACTATTTACTGTACTATTTCAAAATCTCCAAAAAATTTTTTCCAAAAAACTGAAATCTGTTTATCCTTTCAGATGATCATCGCTCTTTAATTATTCAAGCAGATTTCATCAAAACAACAAAGAAAAAACTGAACCTGTTTAAACCAGTTTTTTAACACAACAACAATAACAACAACTATTATAACAACAAACAATATCAATTATACTTTATTATCCATGTCAACAAGGATCACATCTCTAAGACCAGTGCCAATGCAAGAGCCAGACTATTGGCCACCTTTTAGATATTCCTTTTGTTTATATAGATTTTACAGTTTAAGCAATCTAGTTTTAGTTTCAGCAGTCAATATTATTGTAGCTCCAGTTTATTTTTCTTTTCAATTTTTTTCAATTTTTTCAATTTTCTCAATTTTCTATTCTTTTTATATCTAATCAAAAAATTCTGAGTAAGTAAGCATAGCTGCTCTCAGTTATATTTACTATATACAATATTGTTTTAAATTCTTTTCGATATTAGCTAAATATAGATAAGTAAACAAGCTAGCATTTAACTTATTATATGCTTTTTATACCCAAGAGATAGTTTCTTTTACAAATATATATAACTTTAAGTATAATATCAATAAATAAAAAAATAATGTTTACCTATCAAAAAAAAAAATTAATATTTATTTATTGAAAAGTAAACTTTTATTTATTAAAAATTTAAAATATTTTTAATTTACTTTTATTAAAAAGTCACTTCTTGATACATTAAATTTATAAAAATCTAAATTTAATAAAGTTGCAACTTTTCATTCTTTGGTGATAACAATATTGAGATTGACAATATATAAATCATTATTTAAATTATAAAATAATAATTATGTATATTTATTTTTTCTTTAAGTTAAAAGTGCATATAAACCAGTACAAATAACATTACAAAAAGCTTTATCAAAGTTTTTGTTTTTTCTTTGTGTTTTTGTGATATTTATTTTAAAAGCAAATTTTTATCAAATTCTGATAATATTATTTTTTGATAGATTATTTATTATATCTTCAATATTATTTCTAAAAAAAAAGAAATTTTTGAAAAAATTAGAAATAAAAAAAATAATAAATAAAACTTATAAATTTATTTTATTACAATTTTTTATGATGAACAATTATTTTATTTCATCAAACATGTCACCACTTAAGAAAATTAGCTTGCAATTTATTATTTCTTTTTTTCAATATATCTAAATCTAATTGAAGAAATATGATTTTTAAAAAATCTTGAATCAACATATTTGATTTTGAATTATTAAGATTTTAGCATTTGACAAATAAAATATAAATCTTGCCAAGAATTGGACCTTGAATTTATTTAGAAAGTTCCTATAATAATTTGAATAAATAATAAATAATTAATTAATGCATATAATTATTAATTATTAATAAAATAATATATTATATTTTCCAAAATACAAAATAATTTCTTGTAAATTTACAAGCTTTTTATTATTGTAAAATAGTAATAGAACATTTGATCTTGAACATGTACTGTATAAAATTTTACAGATCAATTACATCTCTTAAAAGGATATAATTATTTATTCATTACTTTAATAAGGACATTGTTGTGGGGAAAACAGTTGAGTTGTGTGGCGCAGTAACTGGATGCATTTGTCATGCATCAGTCATTGGTGCTAAAGCTTGTTAAGTTTAGGGTGATTTGCATGATGTGATGATTGATAATTGTACGCGTCGCCAGTAGTATAAATAGAAGTAGGATAGTTCGGCGATAACAATATAACTTGTATTCATGTAATTTACAGTCGTTGCCTAATAAAGTAATAAACTCTTATTTGCACCTGATATTTGCTACTCTAAAAAATACACTAGTGTTTCGCGAAAGATCAAAGGAGGTTGAAAAAGGAAACTGCAGCATGAATCAAATACTGGACTAGTAAAAAAAGAGAAGCAAAGTTAGTGGAAGCTCTTGGCCAAATCGATACACGCCTCAAGAAAGAAAAGAACTTACAAGAATCCTATCATTATGCAAGTGCTAATCCCGGGATAGTAACAGACTTGCCGGAAATAACAATAACATTTGGTGGTGACTGTGAAATAGGATGTTCGTTACCTTCCCCCCGATAAAATTGCATGGACAAGGATCACACCAATTTTAGAAAGAAAACTTGTGTCAAATAAAAACTTAATTAAAAGAAAACAAATCTTAACCAAAAGCATTACCTTCGCGAAGATCTGCATAAGAACTCATGATACGTTTGTGACCACAAAAATCACCAATTAAAGATGAGTCACGAATATGAAGATGACTTGGAGGAAAATCTAATTGATTTTAATGCACTACAATCAAGAAGGAAACGAAGCACTATACAAAATCTAGTAAATGCAATTTCCGGCCTAAACTTAGGACAATGAGAAAAAAGGGTGGAAACAAAAGAAGATGGGAAAAGGAGGTCCACTGGATAAAAGTACGAAAATTCAAGGGCGAAGAATATGAAGATTCATACACATGGCTGGAACTGTATGAAAAAGCAGCAAAAGCTAATAATTGGACAAACGAAAAGAAATTGAGAATGGTGGTTGACTATTTAGAGGGAATGGCGTCAGACTGGTACGAAGATCACCAAGAAGATCTCGAATATTGGAACAGCGATTACGAATGAAAAAGAAGTTTCGTGCCAAACTTCCTGCAGTATTTTGTGTCAACAGAGCAACATCGCCATTGGCAAACTGAATTGTTCGGCCTGAAACAAAAGAATGACGAACAGGTGAGGGCCTACACCCACAAATTTCATAAATTGCTGAAGAGGGTCGACCCTAACGGTGACTACTCGAGAACCTGTGTGGTAAGAATGTTCACAAATAGGTTGAGAGGAAAGATGGCATCAGTACCTGCCATAACGAATGCCACCACACTGAGTAATACAATCAACGAGGCTAAGCAATTCGAAGAAGGAACAGGTTTTTTGATGTACGACACCAATGGAGAAATAGATAGAACAAGACGAATGGAAAGCGATATCCAAGAATTACTTAAACAAGTGCGAGAAATGAAGGAAAGTTATAATAAACCGATATCAGGAGAACATGGTGCCTATAGGCAAAAAAACTCGAGTAGTGTGGGCAACCAAAGCTGCTTCACGTGCAGGAAAAAGGAGCATTTCTCCAGAAACTGTCCAAAAAAGACCGATACAGCAAAAAAGCTTACGTAGACAAATGAAGTTCAATATGCAGCTATCGAAAGAGGCGAGAGCAGCGGGGAGGAAGCCTACACGGTGGGAGTTCAAGCAAGTTCAGAAAAAAGAAAAGAAATGTTTGGCTCAAAATCGAGATGAGATGGACATTTAAGGAGTAAACCAAAGTTGGGCTCCCCAGATTCTGAGAATGAGGATAATACTCCGTTGCCAAATAAAGATGAGGAAATGGAGGAGGTAGCACCGCCAAAGAGGAGGCCGCGGCGAAAGAGAGGACCATCAAAAGTAGAAAGAGTACCCTCTTATAATATCATCAATGATCTTATATCGTCAAAGGCAAATGCTACGTTCGGACAAATACTGCAATATTCGGATTAGAAGAAGATACTCGCAAAGGCATTGCAAAGACCATTCGTCGAGTTAGAAACAAACTTCATTAGTACCAAGAAAAAGAAGACGACAGTAGCAAAATGTAGAAAAAAGATCAAGGGTATAAGGGTGGATGCTGTCGTCGATACCAGGGTTGCTGTGAGCCTTATCTTAAAAAAATGATGGATCGGTTAAAGCTAAAGATCGAGGAGAAGTCAACAACGTCAGTAGTATCTGTCACTGGCGTAAGAACCAGAGCATTAGATAATATTAACAACCTGAAGATATCAGTGCAGGGAACTTTGATCCTGACACATCTACAAGTGATTGATTCCAAGGATGAGTTACTACTCCTAGGAAATGATTGGTTCGAGAAAGTGAAAGCCCAGATTTATATTGATGAACAGAAATTGATAGTAAAATATGACGGAAAAAAGATTAAAATCCCCATCACAAATGACAAGGAAAGAAAGGTACCTGCTAATGAAACTGACAGTAATGAACAATCTGATGATGAGGAGGTGGACAATGTACTGAACAACATAATATACGAAAAAGAGGATGTAGAGGAGAAGAAAGGCTACTTCTCTAAAGAAGCACGTGACGGTTCTGATTCTAACGAGGAGGCATGCCCCGAAGAACTGGACCCTGCGGCTTATCTATCTCAAATAAAAGAACCATGAGCTTTAAATGAGATTACAGAGAAGGGCAATGACTTTAAGGACAGTCCGACAGAAGTTGACCCAAAGGATGAACTAATTGAACCAAAAGAACATGAAGGGAAGCATGCGGGTGAAATGCTAGCCCAACGAGGTGACCTTTTGCCCGTGGAAGATGTGGTGACATCAATCGAAGAATTATCAACACCAGTGAAGGGAATGCCAAAGATGGACATATTAAAAGAGATCGAGATGCTCAGAATGGATGATGGATTAGAAAGAGAACAGGTAAAGCAGGCAAGGCAAATGTTAAAATGGGAATGGGACGTGTTTGCGCAATCCATGCTTGAGCTAGATTGTACACAGGTGGTCCAATATATGATCGATACTGGTAATACAACCCCAATCAAGCAAAATGCATGCAGGGTTGCCCCGGATATATAAGAATTCATAAAGGGGGAGATATCGCACTTGGAGGAATGAGGATTGGTGCAAGAATCGCAGAGCCCGTGGTCATCTCCGATAATAGTAGTACTGAAGAAGGGAGGAAAACTGAGGCTGTGCGTCGACTACTGCAAACTAAACATAGTAACTAAGAAAAATGCATACCCCTTGCCGTTAATCGATGATCTAATCAAGGCCTATGCCAGTACTCGATGGTTCAGTACGATGGATCTTATATCAGGTTATTGGCAGGTAAATGTGCACGAAAGGGATAGGGAGAAAACAGCATTTGTGACCTTTTTCAAAATGTATGAGTTCACAGTCATACCGTTCGGATTATGTAACGCACCCGCAACATTTCAGTGACTAATGAATACCCTCCTGCAAGATTACATTGGAAAGTTCGTAATGGTGTACTTAGATGACGTAACTATCTACTCGACAACCATTAAAGACCACTCAATGCATGTTCAGTTGGTATTAAAAAAGGTCCAAAGTGCAGGATTAAAATTAAACTTAAGCAAATGCATCTTTTTCCAAGCACACATAAGTTTTCAAGGTCACGTGATCGGAAGAGATGGTATTCGGCTGGACGGGGAAAAAATTAGTAAAGTCAAGAACTTCCCAGTGCTGAGAAACCTGCGTCAACTGTGAGGCTTCATTGGTTTCGCCTCCTATTATCAACGGTTTATTGAAGGATTCTCTACAATTGCATGCCCCTTATATCATATGATGAAGAAAAACGTAAAGTTCGAGTGGCAGGATGAGCAGAATCAAGCCTTTGAAAGACTAAAGCGACATCTCATCACCGCACCAGTACTAAGGTACCTGGACTACACGAAGCTATTCTGTGTGCATACAGATGCATCAGGACACGGATTAGGAGTGGTCCTGGCACAAAAAGATACCGGCGGCCAAGAATTTGCAATTGCATATGCCACCCGGGGTTTGATTAAACACGAAAAAAATTATGCGGCTACTGAGTTGAAATGCTTGGCTGTAGTATGGGCAGTTGAGCATTTCCAACACTACTATGGGCTGAACCCATTTGTAGTAGTAACTGATCACACTGCTTTAAAATGGCTTCAGACATCTAAGCTTACAGGAAGGCATGCCAGATGAATACTACGCTTACAGCCTTACGATTTCTCCATTATACATCAGAGAGGCTCAAGGCATAGCAACGCTGATGCGTTGTCCCGCATGTAATACCCCAAAACTCCGAAAAAAAAAAAAATCATGAAAAAAAAAAAGTATAAAATACTATCAACAAAAAAAAAAAAGGGGGGGGAAATTATATATACTGTATATAGGCTTCGCTATCAATAACTGCCACTTTATTTTTATTTCTTTTTCAATTCTTTGAAATTCTGCACTCCGCGATATGGACATAACACATTACAGGTACCTCAAGAATTGCTTGCAAGAACGAAGTCTACCGGTTGCTTTGAGTCCGACTGAACGAAAATGCCTACAAAAGAAGAGTGAATATTACACCTATCAAAATAGAATTTTATATAAAAAAGACAGACAGGTCAAGGGTCGATTGTTATACGTAGTCCAACAACACGAAGTAGAGCCTATTTTGTTCCTTATGCACCAACACCCAATGGGCGAGCATTTTAATAAAGATGCGATGTTCAAGAAGATTAGGGATATATATTTCTGGTCACAGATGTACAAAGATATTCGTGCCTATGTGCAACACTGCGACGCATGTCAGCACCGGGGAAGATCAAGTAGTTCAGGACCTTTAAGGCCAATACCTGTTACAGAACCATTCAATCAAGTAGGAATCGACTTTGTGGGGCCCTTACCTTTGACCCCTCAATGAAATCGATATATCCTAGTCACCATGGACTATATGATGAAGTGGCCAGAAGCAGAAGCCATAAAAAAAGCAGATGCCCCTACTGTTGCCAAATTTTTATACGAAGAGATAGTTTGCCAACATGGGTGCCTGGAACAGATACTTTCAGACTGGGGTACCCATTTTAACAATGCCGTAATAAAGGAGCTGGTAGACAGGTTGGAAATTAAGTACAAATTCGCAACACCATACCACCTCCAAATGAATGGATTAGTCGAAAGGTTCAACCGAACTCTGTATGAATCAATTGCCAAGATTATTCAAAATGTGACTGATTGGGACTTATTAATCCCCCTATTTTATTTGCATACCGCACCACCAAGCATATCACGACTAAGATGTCCCCGTTCTACCTTGTGCACGGTAGAGAAGCCCAACAACCATTGTACCCAAACCAGAGTAAGGGAATCACTGACGGTACTATCATGCAAAGGTTCATCCATCTGATTAACCAATTACCTAAGGATCGAGAAAGAGCGGTTCGTAAGGTTCGCGAAGCACAGGAAAAACAAAAGACCTACCAAAATGACCGCCACAGACTTGTACCCGAGTTGGACATTGATGATCAAGTATTAATGTATCAGACTGCTATGGAGAATTGACGAAGCAGCAAATTTGAACCAAAATAGAAAGAACTGTATTATGTGCATGATAAACTGTCCGAAAGTGTGTATAAGCTAAGAACAATTGACGGAAAGCTATTATGGGCGCCAATTAACATCAAGATTCTAAAGAGGTACTATGAACCGGAAGACTGGATTTAAGGTTATACGCGGAGCGTATAAAATAAGTGTGGAGAAATGTTGTGAAGAAAACGGCTGGGTTGTGTGGCGCAGTAACTGAATGCATTTGTCATGTATCAGTCATTGGTGCTAAAGCTTGTTAAGTTTAGGGTGATTTGCATGACGCGACGGTGGATAATTGTACGCGTCGCCAGTAGTATAAATAGAAGTAGGATAGTCCAGCGATAACAATATAACTTGTATTTGTGTAATTTACAGTCGTTGCCTAATAAAGTAATAAACTCTTATTTGTACCTGATATTTGCTACTCAAAAAAATACACTAGTGTTTCGCAAAAGATCCAAGGAGGCCAAAAAAGGAAACCGCGGCATGGATCAAGTACCGGACTAGTAAGAAAAGAGAAGCAAAGTTAGTGGAAGCCCTTGGCCAAATCGATATATGCCTCAAGGGAGAGAAGAACTTACAAGAATCCTATCGTTATACGAGTGCTGGTCCTGGGATAGCGACAGACTCGCCGGAAATAACGATAACAACATAATTCAAAAAACACTTGGATCAAGTAACTTAAATTGCAAAAAACCTTTATAAATAAGTAATTTTTTTTTATCTTATATTTTTAAAAAAACTTTTTAATAATGTAGAACACTTGAATTATATTTGTATCTTTAATTAGAGACCCATTTTAACTGAATAGCTATTAAATAAAAGTTGATCAGATAGCTGTTAAATAGAAGGTTAATTGAATAATAACTTCTTGGAAAATTATTAATCAGATTGTTAAAAAAATTGTAGAGATAATGTGCTTTTTGGATTTATTATTTTTGAAAATTTTTTGAAAAAAACTATCTGCTTTTATATTTAATTTTTATATAACTGTAATTTTATAGTTACTATATTATTACCATTTTTTTATCACTTGATTAATGAATTGTCACTATTTTATAATGATTTTATTATAATTTAATTAAAGTTACTTCAAAATCATATTGTTTTTTTTTTTTTTTTTTTTTTTTTTTTTTTTTTTTTTTTTTTTTTTTTTTTTTTTTTTTTTTTTTTTTTTTT